GCAGCTCTGGGCACAGCATCAGGGTTCAAACACAACGCTGTCCCCTTTGGCTGGTTGCAATAATCTAACGCACTCTAATAACTGTTCTCTTCTGCCTTCACTTCCCTCTTCCCTTTTGATGCCTGCAGCAGCAGCGTGGACAGTTTAGCATCAGCCCCAGTCCCAGGCAGGCTGGTCACACAACATGGCACAGCATCATCGCTCACAGAACACAAATGTGCCGAGGCCTTCACCACCACATACCATAACCTCTAAGTATCCAGTTCCACCCCAAGTACCCCAGCTCTGACATCCTGTCTGCAACAGTGGCTGGGAAGAGTTGTCAGAAATCCAGGAGATGAATGAGCAATGATTTATCCATTAGTGTCTGTTATTTAAGCAAACATCACCCCACCCAAGCCTCCTGACGTTGGTGCAGACTCTGAAGCAATGAAGGGACTTCACAGAAAGCATTCTCTCCACATCCCCGAGAATCAATAATCCACTTGTGCAGTTCACTTGGATTCTATTTTTAAAACTGTTTTTACATCTTACCAGACACAACAGTTTTCCTTCCTAACATACACCTTACTTAGAGAAGTGCTTGCAGAAAGTTGGAAAAAAGCATTATGAATATAGAGCAAATAGCACCAACTAATCTAATTATATACTTAATAACTCCTTAGCATTCCAGAGAAGCAGTGGATTATATTTGACAGTGGAGATGTACTGCAAGAAGAGCAATCTTGTGCTCGGAGCAGAGCTGGCCTTTCTGCAGTGCTTTGCTGTCACTGAGATATGCTCTATGCCAATGGCAGCACAGCCACGGACCTGGTTGTCACAGCTGAGAAGCATTAGTGTCCTCCTGGCACAGGAAAGTATTTTAGGAAAACCTTCAAGAGTCTGATGTCATGTAAGGTACCCTAAATGACCCTATAGACACTTCATTAAAAAGCCAAACTCTACAGCACAGAAACAAGTAGGATTGATGCTCTTGTACTACTGCATATCAAAGAGAATCCTCTCCAAGCAGGTACCAGAAAAAAGACATTCAATAGCAAATTTTATGAGAGAAGGATAAAAACCAGGTAGTTCAACAGTTCCTGAAATCCCAGTGGTGGTCAATAAATCGACTTGTGCTTCACATTATATGAAGAGGCTGTACTTAGCAAATCACTGTGTAAGCTGCCTCAATAACAGCACTCCTGCTATCAAGTTTACTTGCAATGAGTCCAACAAAGAAATTAATTTCTTAGATGACAAGAAAAGGTTATCTAGAACGGGGAAAACACAGGAGACAAAGATTTCCACTAATAAAACAAATATCAGACTCTGAGTTGAATTTGAAGCTATCTTTTTTTCCTCTGAAAGGTTTTAAATCCCTGTAGCCCAAACACTAGAGCTACAAAGAAAACATCCTACAACCTGCCCTGCAAAAAACACAAGAAGAGCTCTTTTCAGCACGTGAGTTACTCCCTCAGCCACATGCACGCTGCTCCTCGGGCAAGGCCCAGAATGAGGAAATGTACTGCAACCCAAGTTCCAGACTTAAAAGCAAACCTCACTTTGAGCTACTAGTTGATTTACTGTCCAAAAACTTCAGTACAATCTAATTTCAGAATTCAGGACATGCCCTTTTCACAAGTACAAAGGTGTTTCTCATGACTCCAAAAAGTAACAAAACACACACCTTCCTAGTCTGATTTTACTGATTTTATTGATCTGTTTATTCCCAAGAGAGAATCCCATCTTATTTTCCAATTATCAATTTTTTCATAAATATTTCCACAAACAGGCACCACTTTCCTCTATGCCCCCCTTTTTTCCTCTCACTATAATACACAGCCTTCAGTTATTGCTCTCATTTCATTCTCTTCACACTTTTCTATGCACATCAAGTGAGCAAACTGACCTGGTTTATCCACATGCCCACAGGAAGTCAGCCACAAACATGAGACACAGAGGTTTGATTTCGAAAAAGTCATTATAAAAAAAAAAAAAAAGCAGATTCCCTGTTTCTGCTGCCCAAAGATATGCTCCCACCAGTTCTTATAGCAATTCAATCCATCTGACATCCAAGAACTCTATGATCACATCACACAACTGGCCTCTATGCTGAATGGCTTGGCAGCAATACTGCACCCACAGGACCAATTTCTATAGATTTGGGGTTAGTTGTAAAAGTTTGTTGAATTTCCATTTCATGGCTGCAAAGATTAACATCGAATTTTAATCAATTATAAGCCAAAGCCATGTAGTTCACCTGAAATAATAACCCAAAGAGATTTAGACCCTCAGCTTCTGTCCCACCTTGATCTAATCCTGGCTGCCCAAACCAGTGACAAAGGCCTTCAAGTTCACAATCACCCGTTTAGTGCCACTGCTAGTTAAGCAGGGGACCTCTAGGAACCACCATCCTGAGAGGGGATTCCTGCAAGCTGAAGTCCCACGGGAAACCAGGACTCTGCTAGGACATTTATAACTTGAGTGAGTGGCTTGAAGTAGGTCAGATGGGAAAGGGTTAAGATCTAGGTTTCGATTTCCATGGTGATTAGAAGAAAGAGCTTGTCTGAGGAGCTGTTTGGACCATTAATGCTCCTTTTTAGTATCCTTTGGAAAACACAGGCTATTTGAAAGGGCAGAGAGAAACAATATGAGGCTGTTTTTTTTTTAAATCTGGTGACTTGAGTAGCTATAATCTTGTCTGTGTGACACTGATCTCAAAGCAACAGAATAGCCAATACAAGACCCTGGCTAGAACAAAATGGAGAGGATAATATAACATTAACGACATAAGTTTACAGAAAATATATTCTTGCACTAGCATGATTTTTAATTAAAAGTTTATTGCTAATTAATAGCACAGATATAGCAGGTTTTTGTAAGGCAGTTGACTTGATGCAAAATGACATTTGATTAAGAAACTCAAAATCAACATGACAGATCAAGTGGGCTAGAGACTGATAGGCCCCAGAATGTAATTGCAGATGAGGCAAAACACTAAATAAATGTTTCCAGCTTATATCAATTAAATATCAACACAAAAGAGAACGGTTTCTTTTATCCCACCCTCAAGAGATGACCTTATGTTATGCAGCAGTTTTGTCTGTACTCTGGAAAAAAGCACAAGATGATTACTGAACAAATTTACAGATTAGAGTCATGAAAACAAGGATCAGTGGTAGAAAGCCATTTAGTTTGCCAGGTAAAGAAGAGTGGAGAAAAGATCACTGTTTTTAATATAGCTAAATGTAAGAAAACATGCCTAAGCCCCACTTCCAGGCTGGCAGCCTCTCTTGAAAGCAGGTAATCTAAAAGGTCACTGTAAAAAAACATTTGTAGGGAGCTTCAGGGAGATACTGTGGGTAAATAGGACCATGGAGATAATTTTGCTTTCAAATTTCCTCCAAAGCTAAAACTACACAAGTGAGGCTTTGGAAAACAGTCGACAGCAGCTGGTGACAGAAACTCACACATTAGAAAAGCAAAACCAACACCTCCCCTCGGAAGCTGCCAAAAGTTTGATTGAAACGGAGGTAAGAAAGCATTTGGGCATCTCATGCGTTCCTTGAAGGTCAAATTGGACAAAACTCAGGTATATGAGAGACAATTAGGAAGGAAATATGATGGATGGCAAGTCTACTGACAGGTCTCTGAGGAACATCCTCATGTGCCAATAACAAACATTCAAGCTCTCCTGCTTCTTCCTTTCATACCTTGTCTTTGCAGATCATGCAGAGCATTAATATTTCTTTTTCCTGAAGGAACTCTCATATCTTGAAAAGCTAAACTTAAAGGGAGCTACTCACACCTGGTGCAACTAAACATTTTGCTTTCTTCAGCAATGAAATCCCACTACATGTCACAGCTTTTTTCTGAGGTGTAGAAATGCCAGGTAATGCTGTGATCTCACTCACCTGTTACAAAACCTCTTAGCAAGTGCTCTGAGATCCCCCCAGCCACTGAGAGTCCCACAACAGGACTTGACACATACCAAATGCGCCCAGAACATCTGCTCCTTTGTTCTGACCATAAATATATAGAAAGGAGAGGAAGAAAAAGCCTGCAGAACAATTTATTCCGGATCTCTTTACATCAAAACTCACACATCACGCTCCTTCAGGTAATCCCTCCCCCTTTATATAAAGTTGTATTTAGATCATCACACGCAGCTGAACGACTCAAAGCCTGAAACATGAAAGCTCAAGGAACATAAGAAGTGCATGAGGACACGTAAGGAGCACGACAGAGCTGAGGAATTACAGCCCTACCTCCTGATTCCCAGCCTGGGGTTCTTGGGTTCCCACCTGTCAGCCACAGCCGTGTGGAACAGCCCAGCTGTGATTCTGGCCTCGACCAAGCCAGGTACAACACCTCTTCAGCAGCTGTGATTAATGAAGAGCTCTAACACAAAGTCTTTTAACCACACATAGGGGAAATTTCTGCCACAAGAAGTATTACACTACAGAACCAGCTTAGACAGCTCCAAGCCAAGTTTCTCCCAGCAGAGCCCACCTGTCCACAAGCCAGGACCCAGCTGCAGTGGAGACATTTGTGGTTTCCCTACCTGCCACCTGCCTGCCTCCACCATCAATGTATAGCTTCAAAGGGACACTCAAAAGAAAGCTGGAGGGACAGAGAGGAATCAATGGCAAAACAAAACCAAAAAGCTTTCAAGTGTTTTGGGACTCTAGAAATGAGGGGGTTGTATTTTTAGCCTGCATACAGGCAGCTCAAGGTGCTTTTCTTTGTCCCCATGACAGTAGGTAAGTGAATACACCTGCCTTGCCTCACTCCCTCCTGATGGTAAACACGAGGTCTTGCATTCAGGTTACAACATGGAGTTACTTCAGAGCAGCCCTGTGCCAAAATAGCACATTTCTGAGGGATGCAAAGGTATTCAATAAAAAGCTTTTAAAGGCATATTTTTAAACTTGCAGCAGGAAAGCTTTTCTGTGTCAAGACAGTAATTCTTTTAGCAGCATTGATCAAAATGTCATTCTTTTATGAGTGTACAATACCTTTTAATGGCATACAACAAGCCATTAGGGTTCTACACCTCCGTGCAGCACACAGCTTACTGGAAAATCAGGAACACTGGCCAAGAGACAGCCACTGGGTTTTATGCCTGTAGAAAGGCAGAGTTTCTTCCATTCTCCCCAGCTCTGCTACAATCAAATACATACAAGTGAAGTGACCCAAAAATTAAGCCAAACTTCTCATCACTTCTACAAGAGCTATTTTCCCACACATTTCCCCCAAGAAATACCTCTCATAAACACAACAAATATTCTGGCTTTCCAAAGTGGGATTCTATCACCAGGATCTGATCTGGCTCTTTGTTTTCCACACCAATGATCACACTTACCCCAAATCAGCACTGACTGAGGAATGAGAGGGGGATGAATTGCACAAAATGGGTTTGATTTTCAGAAATGGGAAGAAGTGCCACCTGCCCTTTGCTAACACTGAGGCCTGGTCAGAATCCATCTACAAATCATCCAATTCTTTTCAAGTGCTCCAACCCTTCAAAGGGTGACAGCACTGGTGATTGCATTTGCTCTGCTTGAATGGAAGACCAGCATGGGCTTTCTAGATGCATTCAGCACTTTACAGCCTGATTTTAGTTACAAATATCAACAGGAAAGGGAATGCTCTCTGTCAACCTACCTTCAAGGCTTTTCCCATCAAGGATAAGAGAATATTTATGGGATTTAATCATTACTGTTAACTGAGCAGTGGCAGCAGCAAAAGAGCTTTATTTCACTATCTGAAATTCTAAGGCATAATAGCAAAGTCTTCTCAGCTACTTCTGAAAGTGTAAAGCCATCAGTATAAACAGATAAAACAACAATTCCAATAAAACATAAGGTAAAATTGTAAATCAAAGACAGGAAAACTGACTAGAAAGAGGAGACAGAAAAAAATTGAGGTTCTAAAATCAAAAGCTGGAGCAAAATTAATTACAGTTAAGAAAAGTTTAAGGGCCTGCTTGTCTCTTACCTGTTCAGAAGCACCCTTGTCCCTCCGACTTCCAGTTATGAGATACTGCAGTGAGTCTCCTCAGTCACATCTAGAATTTCAAATCAAAGAGAATTTTTTAATTTTACATAATTTTCATAAGCATACATAAATTCAACTCAAACAATACAATTTATGCTCCAGAAGATGCCATTGTCTCAGTCAGAACATCAAAAAGTCAACGGTGCTCACATTTCCCCTGCACTCGTTATTAAACATAGTCAGACACAGAGAGGTCACGCCCCGAGACCAGAGCTGTGCCACATGGTCCAACTGATAACCCAGACCAAAACTGGTCAGAATCAGAATTTCATAGTTATCAGGGAATGGTTTCTCACTATATCACCTACCAGAGAGTGCAGAGTTGCTTCTTTGTTGTTGCAGTCAAAAGAGTAAATACATATTCAAGCACACGTTTGGGGATTTTTAAACAAACAGATGATTTCTAGGTTACCTGAAGTATGACAACTAAGAAAACCTGGATTTTGTGGTAGCAACTAATTTCTCGTTGACCTACACTAAATTCTGTGCAATAAATGCTCTGGCACCATAGGAGAGCTGTTCCTGTCTTTTCTCGCCTAGAACTTGATTCAGTAAAAGCAACTCCCTATTTCTCTCTCTCTCATCAGTGATGTAGAAATAAACTCAGGTTTTGAATTAAGGAGGCCAAACAGGACCAATGTAAACAGGAACTCAACACACTGAGCACTTCAGCTTCTATCAGCTCGATTTTCACTTTAAATCTCCATCCCTGAAGGCTTTTAATAACAGGTTTGGAATAGTTTGTCAGAAAATATATAGGTGCATTTCATCCCCCTTTTCAGTAAGGAATCAGACCGGATGATGTATCCCAAAGTTTTTGCAGAATAACCTGCCTAGAAGAAGTTTTGCACCCAGGTGTTAAACCCAATGACCACTGTGACGATTCCCACAGTGGCTTGCTGAGCTTTACCTCGCAGCCCACCACTCTTCCCTACAAAGACTTCAGGGAACTGCTTGGACATATGGGATCCTCCCGAGCACTAACCTGGTCCGCAGTTTGGCAAGTGCCCGTTTTTTTTCAGGACCCTGCAACGCCGAGCCTGTCCCATCACTTCTCCCGAAACGGCAACGGAGGAGCCGGCGGGAGCGCGGCCTGTCCTGGATTGGGAGCGGGCGGCACAGGAGAGGAGCTCTGCCTCCCCCCGCCCTCCCGGGACAGGAGGGATGTCGGGGGCAGCGGGAGACAGAGCGGGAGCCTGGGATGCACGAGGGGCACAGCGCGCCTGCCGCCAGCGCGGGGGGCTCCCTCGGGCCTCGCGGCGCCCGGAGCCGGAGCCCGCAGAAGTGGCGGGGACCGGAGAACCCGAGCCCCGAGCCCCTCCCGCCGTTCGAACGCGCCCGCCAGCCCGTCCTCCCGCCCCGCCCCGTATTGACCGTGCCCTCGCCCAATCCTGAGGCGGGAGAGACAAAGCCCCGCCCCCAAAAGGACCAATCAACACTCGCCAAGGGCGGGGGCGGGGCCGCCTGCGCACGCGGAAGGTCTCACGAGCCCCTTGGTCTCTGAAGACGTTGATGGACGTAAGAATGACCCAATAGAAGCTCAGCCTCCCGCCCATGCGTGGCGCCAATTGGCCATCCCGCCCAGAGAGAGGAGGCGCGTTGCCATGGGGACGTTCGGCATCTCCGGACCCCAGCAGCGGTGCTGCTCCCGGCCAACCCCGCAGAGAGCGAGGCTCCCGTCCTCTGTCACGCAGAGAAGCCACTCGGTGATTACACAATGGTTTGGGGGGCTCGGGTCGAATATCACTGTCCTGCGCTGTCCCTCAGCGCAGCCCCAGGCCCTGCTTCCATCGCCTGGCGTTCCAGTCACAGCTGTAACCCCGCCAAAGCCATCGAAGCTAGACCTTGATTTATGTGTGTTACATGCCGCTGAAGGAGTTCCTACTGCCTCTGAGGCACACACACAGACCTGATTTGACACAGAGGAAGCCTCCAAACCCAGGAGATGCTGGAGATGGTTTGCTCTCGATGTAAGTGAAGCAGCCAGTTTGAGAAATAGAAAGGTTGTTGAAAGAGGTGTCATTAGCACAGGGAAAGCATAAGCCAAGCTTTGGAGTTGGGAAACCTGCATGACTCATACATCTGTTCATGAGACAATTTAGAAACTAAATTGCTGTAGGCAAAAAAAGAAAAGAAAAAAATTACAAATGCACAGACAAATGGTAAATCATAGTAGCAAGGAACTGCCTGGCTGCCCTGACACTCGATGGAGAAGCAGGGAGGGAACTGAGCTCACTGAAACCCTAAAGGTGTAAATAATGACAGGGAGCTGCTGTTTCTCACAGCCCTCACTCCTTGTTGGCAGGATGGAGTTCAGCTTGTCCAGGCCCTGCTCACAGTGATAGATCTGGGAAACAGTGCGAGGCAAAGCTCCAGGCTGTGATCTCCAGGAGGAAAACAGCACTGGAAATTCACTTCTCCCTTCTTGAAACTGGAGTGTGACCACAGAGCGAGAGAATGCTTGGAACTTAGTCTGCTGTTTGAAGAGGATTGAAGTAAAACAAATATTTTTGTAATAAAAATTTAATATCCTTTTTTTGGGCTTTGTAATCAAAGCAGCTTTCTAAGCTATGCGCGCATGGACAGTAATCCTCCCCTAATCTTGCTCGCCTCAGGCATAGGAGATGCTTAGGAAATAACAAAGCACTGCCTGCTACAGGAGAAACTTCTAATTTGTTTTTGTCTAGCTCAGCATAAGGCCAAGCCCCAGGTGCAATGGACCATCACATGAAAAATGTAACAGAGCTCAAACATAAAATACTCTCGCAGCCATGTATATAGATCAAATACCAGATGGCATGAATGGGGTATCTGTGAGATGGTGTTGGGGATGGAAGTCCAGTTCCAGATTCTTTTACCAGAACAAGGTATCATTTAAATGTGTGAAATCCAGGGAGACAGCAAGAGAACCAGGGTTTTATGGGGGCCAGAGCCCAGTTATGGTCACTGCTGGGCACATTACAACCATATTTCCTCAGAATTTCCACTACAATTCTCTCCCCATCTCTCATAACTTTGTAACAATTTTCTAACCAGAAACATTTTTGTATTGAAAATATATTTAGACCTTTTTTCTCTTAGTATTCCTTCAGCTGAAGTCTGCACAGGTAAAAAAATTTGAAATTAGGAGCAGCAGTGATCCACACCAGCATGTGCCTTTATGTAATTTGGCTTTGATTCACCACTCATAGGTGTATGAAATTAGGACTGTGTTTACTGAGCTTACACTTGAGGACATCTGCTGCTGGTTGATGTAGCTGATGCCTTCATTGGGGAAGATCCCTTTTTTTCCCTTTCAAGGACACATGAATTCCTCCAGTCTGCAGGAATGCACACCAGGTGTGCCTTGCTTCACTCTGCTGGTGTCAAAGCCCTGGTGTCTGAGCAGGGGTGTGAGGGACCCCGCAGAGGCCGACTCTGAGTTTATTTTATTATGGCTAATAGACTAAGACCCATCCTAGTTTGGAATAGAGCCAAGGCCTGAAACTGAAATTGCTTCCTTGTAAGCTGATTTGCTCCAGTCAGTGAATTGAGGGAAGAGTTCCCTTCCCATCCTGTTAGACCTGCCGTCTTGGCAATGTTAATAAAATAGACCCCAACCAGGGACTGGTGGCAGGATGCCAGGACAATGCATCAAAACTATCTTTCCTGGAGAGAATCATCCAGCAGGTTGTCAGCAGGAGCTGTGCCTCTACCAGGCTGCCAGGGACTCATCTGGAAGAGCCCTGCAGAACCACAGTGAGCTGCCAGATAGACGTGTGAGCCAGAAGCACAAACCCAGGTGCCCGCAGCCATCAGCGACACACAGTGCTGGCTCTGTGCCATGAGGTGCATCACTCACTGTTACAGTGTCCACTCACCAGGCACAACGATCCTGCAGGTGTGGAGACCTGCTGGTCCAACCTCAAGCGGGGCAGAGGTGGTGCTGACAGGCCATGAGAGGCACTCCAAGCCCTGACTGTCACTACTCAGTCAGCCAAGGTGGGAGGCAGAACGTCTTTGTACAGCCCCAGGGCTGTATCCAAGGCATGTGCTGGGAACCCTTGTTAAACCTGAGCCCTCCAAGAGCAGCTCCAGCAGCAAAGCTCCCCTTGCTCTGGAGCCAATGGAGCCTCTCCCACTGTGGCATGGCTGAGCCCAGAGGCCAGGCTGAGTAGCCACAGTGGCATCTGTGGCCAGGAGAACAGGGAGGGAGGACGCAGAACTCCCAAGAGTGCTGGAGGAGTTGGAGAGAAAACTCTGGAGCTGGCTGCTCCCTTGTGCACACTCCATGGGCCTTCACTCCCCATTAAAGAGTGCTGGGTACACAAACTCACTGGTGGTGTTAATCCAGCTGTGGAAAGGATGCCTAGATGTGCTGGAGCTGAGCAGTCCCTTAAGAGGTTACAGGTGGAGCCCATTTGTGGCACCTGTGCTCACAGCTATGACAGCTTAGAATCACAGCATTATTAATTTTGGAAAAGACCTTTAAGGTCACCAAGTCCAACTGTCAGTCCAGCACCACTATCATGTTCACCACTAAACCAAGTCCCCAGATGCCACATCCATATGTTTTTTGAACACTTCCATGGATGGTGATTCCACAGCTTCTCTGGGCAGACCGTGCCAGGGCTTTACAAGCCTTTCTGTGAAAAAAAAAAAAATCCCTAATATCCAACTGAACCTTCCCTGGCTCAACTTGAGGCCATTTCCTCTTTTCCTGTCACTTGTTAGCTGGGAGAAGAGACCAATCCCCACCTGTCTCCAACCTCCTGTCAGGTAGCTGTAGAGAGCAAGAAGGTGCCCACTCCAGTGCTCTTGCATTTGGGATGAGATTAAAATTATAATGTCAACTATTAAAATATTAAAATGATATTTTCATTTTCCTTCTGCTTCCTGGGGAGCAATGGCACATTGGAAGAAAGTTTGCTGTGATTCCTCTGAGGTGTGAGACTAACTAATTACTGGAGAAGATGAGATACAGTCCTGTGATTCTCTGGAATATCTGCTAAGCCTCAGGACAGTTTGTATATATTGGAACCCCTCCTCTACAAAGAAAAGATAAACAGACAGTGCTGGAGCAAGCAGCAGCTCTGGATAGTCACTGGTCTCAGAGTTAATCCAGAACCTGGTAAATAAAGCTGCAGACAGTTAATTAATTAGAGGAATAAAGCCCAGAAATAATATTTTGCAGTAGGATTAGTTCATCTAGAGGGTACCTGGTGAACTCATAGGAAGTGTGGGGAGAGAGGTAAAGAAGACACTAAATTGCCTTCAGCTCTTTAAATCATTTCTGCAGATCCTATTACAGAAGAGAAAGGGAAATGGCTGCAGAACAAATCATGGGAGTTCCTGTTTCCAGTGGTCTGACAGCCCCTCTAAAAGAGAGAGAGAAAAAGCCTGTGTGCACTGGAAGCAATAAAAGACACATTTGTTCCCCATTCATCACCGCGTCATCCTCGGGCGCGCACAGACACTGCCGAGCCCACTGGGGCGGGGGATTAGGACAGCCCCTGGCTCCGGAGTGTCTGCCCCGTTGCGCCCTGCGGCTGTTTTTGGGGTCATCCCTGCCTCTTCCCCAGCCTGGTGGGATGGACAGGATGGTGCCTGGTAGGCTCAGAGCAGGGGAGCAGGCACGGACCGCGGCATGATCTGCCAGGGCATCTCTGATTCTAAACCCAGGCACCACAACTACACCCCTTGGGCACAAAAAAAGGAACTCCCAAGGTACAGCATGCCCTCATCATCTCTCTGAAGGAGCAGCTGTGGCAGCTCAGGTGAGTGAGTGCACTTGGCCACCAGAGCTGCTGTGTGTGAGCTGACACAGTAATGAAGAGAAGGAATCAGAGTCATAGAATCACGGAATATGCTGAGTTAAACGGACCCATCGGGATCCCTGAGCCCAACTCCTGGCCCTGTGCAAGACACCTCCAGAATCACATCATGTGCCTGAGAGTGTTGTCCAAATGCCTATTGAGCTCTGTTAGCCTTGATGCTGTGACCACTTCCCCGAGGAGCCTGTTCCAGTGCCCAACCACCTTCTGAATGAAGAACCTTTTTCTAATATTCAGCCTAAACCTCCCCTGCCACAGCTCCACCTGTTCCCTTGAGTCCTGTCATTGGTCACTGAGAGCGAGATCAGTGCCTGCTCCTCCTCAAGGTCAACTGGGAGTTGACCATTCTCACAGTCATAGTCCTCCAGTTCAGGGCACTGAGACCTCCTTGATCCATCATCTGTGTTGAAGACAGAGGCAAAGAAAGCATTAAACACCTCTGTCTTGTCTCTGTCCCTGTTTATGAGATGACCAGCCTCATTCTGTTATTTCTACTGATGTTAT